ATGTCAATGTGTATGAACAGAGAGCAAGGGGGGGGAGAATGAGGGGACAAAATGGAGATTTCTTAACAAAATGGAGGCTGCGTCCTTCACTGTGTGCACGCTTGTTACACCATGAACTTCCTGATTTAAGCCATGTCTCTGCACTTCCTGTTTGCCAGATTATTGTGCCTTCTCCAGCCAGTATCTCGCTCTTGTCTTTCCTGTTGCCGTCCATAGCTTCGCTACCGACCTTTGGCTTGTTCCTTGACTACGATTCTGCCTCATCCCAACCTGCTACCACTTGTTACCGATCTTTGGCTTGTTCCTTGACTATGATTCTGCCTCATCCCAACCTGCTACCACTTGTTACCGACCTTTGGCTTGTTCCTTGAGTACGATTCTGCCTCATCCCAACCTGTTACCACTTGTTACCGACCTTTGGCTTGTTCCTTGACTACGATTCTGCCTCATCCCAACCTGCTACCACTTGTTACCGATCTTTGGCTTGTTCCTTGACTATGATTCTGCCTCATCCCAACCTGCTACCACTTTGTTACCGACCTTTGGCTTGTTCCTTGAGTACGATTCTGCCTCATCCCAACCTGCTACCACTTTTTACCGACCTTTGGCTTGTTCCTTGACTACGATTCTGCCTCATCCCAACCTGCTACCACTTGTTACCGACCTTTGGCTTGTTCCTTGACTACGATTCTGCCTCATGCCAACCTTCTACCACTTGTTACCGACCCTTGGTTTGTTTACTGACTACGCTTCTGCTAGATCCCACCCTGCATATCAGTTACTGGATCCTGGCTTGCTCACTTTCTGGTGAGGTGATCCTGAGAACTGTGACCTGGTACTAACACGCAGTAAAACCCATCTCCACCATCAGTAGCTCTGGTGAATACCGGTTAGTGCTTAGACCTTGCACCTCAGGTGAGCCTGCGTCATCTCCCAGGGTGACCTGCTTGTTTACCTATTCTGTTGGTTGGTCTGCTGCTATACCTACTGGTCTCAGAGCCTGACCGTGACATATACCTAATATTAATGTGCCCAGTTCCTGTTGAATGTCATGAATTTTGACATGTGGGATAGACATTTTATGGCACGCTCTGCATTCCTAGAACCCTAAAGGCCTAACAGGTCATGTGTGATGGCCGACAGAGTTATTGTTTTACGATAGGGCAGAGGAAAGCGTCTTTGTCATACAGACATCCTGCTAAGCCTAATTAGCGGTTTACAGCTCTTGAAGCTGGCCTCTATTTGTGTTTTATTTAAGATAAGAAGCTCTTTTAAAGTTGTTACAACTTACAGCTACAAATCCCATTTTCTAGAGGAGGGAGAGAGATGATTGTAAATGAAAAACAATATGGCTGAGACCTTAACAAGATGGCTGTCGCGTACAGCTTCCATGTGCCTATTGCGCACAATCGTCTCAGTTATACCTTTTCACACAAATGAATTAATAAAAACTTATTGGGACTTTTGTTTACCAAAGACATGTAGCAGAATACATTTTGGCTTAAATTTATGACTAAATCTGATTTTTATTCAATAAAAGTAAAAAGGATTTTTTCACATTTTCGGTATTTTTTTGATTATATAATAAAGAATAAAAAACCCAGTGGTGATCAAATACCACTAAAATAAAACTCTATTCGTGTGAAAAAAATTATATAAATTTATTTTGCGTACGCTGTTGCATGACCAAACAATTGCCAGGTAAAGCAGCGCAGTGCTGAATAGCAAAAAAAGCTGTGGTCATGAAGGGGTTAAAATCCCCTGGAGCTCAAGTGGGTAAAGCTGAATTAACGGATTTATTGCTGGGAAGATTGAATCATTTTCTTATTTCGGTTCCATGTAGTAAAATTTCCGTCTTAGTCTTCTAAACACGCTGATATACAAATGGAAACCAATTCAGCTGGCTTTGAATTGGTCTGGCTCCAGCATATGACGTACAGTATTATTATTATTATACAGCATTTATAAAGTGCCAACAGTTCACTCGGCGCTGTACATTACAAAGGGGGACAGAACATGCGACAGTACAGTAACAATACAATGCGATACATGAGGGGTTCGAGGGCCCTGCTCTTTCGAGCTTACAATCTAGGAGGGAGGGGATAGTGGTACAGGAGGAGATAGCTGTGGGGGATGGAGTGGTAGGGAGAGTGGAGGAGGTAGGCAAATTAGCAGGGGGTGGGGTAGGCTTCCCTGAAGAGGTGGGTTTTCAGGGTACGCCTAAAGGAGAGGGGAGTAGGTGATAGTCTGATGGGTTGGGGCAGGGAGTTCCAGAGGATGGGTGACACCCTGGAGAAATCCTGGAGGCGGGCATGGGAGGAGGAGACCAGGGAACTAGAGAGAAGGAGGTCTTGTGAGGAGCGGAGTGTGTGCGTGTTGGGTGGTACTTGGATATTAGGTCGGTGATGTAATTTGGGGCAGTATGGTGGACAGCTTTGTACGTCAGTGTTAGGATTTTGAATTTGATCCGTTGCGCAATTGGAGGCCAGTGGAGGGATTGGCAGAGGGAGGTGGCGGAAACGCGGCAGAGGGGGGTGGCTGTAATACAGTAAATAGCATATATATATATATAAAATCAGCCTTTCTTCCCAGCAAGGCCCTATAATATGAAGGAAAAGTAGAGTAGAATAGGAACTGGCCAGAGAGGGATTACTTTGATGCAGTTGGCCAGCTTAAACATGTATTAATGCATGTGAACCAAAAATCCCTGTTTTTAGGCAAAGTTGAGGGAGTATAGCACTGTACACTGTTGCTCTCCTACAACTTGTGTCTATTTGCCCCATATTGACACTATATCCTCTGTGGCTACAGCACGGTTGTCCAGTACTAGGTGGGCATCCATGGACGTCCTCCCAGAATGCCCCCCCCCCCCCCACAGCATGCACCCAGTGCTTTCAGTGATCGCTGTGTCCTACGGACACAGCTGATCACATGACAAGGTAAAAGACCAATCACAGTAGCCTTTTACCATGTGATCAGCAGTGTCCAATGACACAGCAGATCACAAAGTAAATACAGTTGCCAGTTATCACTGTCACAGCTTGAGGACAGTACTGCCGACAAACCGGCAAATGTGGCAGAGATCTGCACTGATAATCAGGGCACTGATTATCAGTGCCCTGATTATCAGTGCTTCCCAGGCAATGCCATCCAGCAGTGCCACCAGTCAGTGTCGCCCATCAGTGCCACCCTTGAGTTCCCATCATTGCTGCATATTAGGGCAGCAGCATCAGTGCCTCCTCATCAATGCCCACCAGTGCCGCCTATCAGTGCAGTCTCATCAATGCACATCAGTGAAGGAGAAAAAATTACCTGTTTTGCAAAATTTTATAAAACCTTTTTTTCTAAAAATTTTTTGCTCTTTTTTTGTTTATAGTGCCAAAAAATAAACCCCAGTGGTGATTAAATACCACCAAAAGAAAGCTTTATTTGTGTGAAAAAAATTATAAAAATGTCATTTGGGTACAGTGTTGCATGACCGTACAATTGTCATTCAAAGTGCCACAACACTGAAAGCTGAAAGTTGTCTTGGGCAGGAAGGGGGTAAAAGTGCCTGGTAGGTAAGCAGTTAAGCAAGCATTTTGCAGAGTAGAGTAAGGACTGGCCAGACTGGGATTGCTTTGAAGCAGTTGAATCATGTAAACTAAAAATCCATGTTTTTATGTACAGCTTACTAGAAAGGGGGTATAGCAGTGTGCAAAGGGTTCATGTAGAGTTTTAGCATAAAGAAAACTTGTCACATACCTATGCTATTACATAGGGTGCTTATTAGCCCCTTTGTGATCATGCTAAAAGGAAAAAAGTATAAAACATGTCAATTGAATAAAATTATTAAAAAGATACAAAAATCAAAAGCAACTCCATTGACCTGCACACCCCTGGATAGGCAAATGCACACATAGGGCATGCCTGTTTATGTAAACAGTGATTGACGTTCTCAGCAATACCTGACGTGTGGTGCAGAGAGAGAGCAATAATTCTAGAGCCATCATTCATGGTTAACTCCAAACTAATAACCTGTAAAGACCAATAAAGTGTTGCTTAGGGAAAAATTTGGGTACTTGAGTTTTTCGCCTTTTCATGGGCATGTGCAATGTTAAGGCTTGACATGTTAAGTATCTATTTACTTGAAGAAACCTCATTCATTTTAGTGTATCTCTTTTCTGAAAATGTGGATTTGATAAACATTTGCACAAATATAATATCATGAAAAATAAAAAATTGTAGCTGCCATTTGATTTTACAGGGCCTGTCAGGAATCTGGGTATGACCAGAAGTGTGTGGACTGACACAGGGAAACGCAGGCTTCAGGTATAGTATAACAATACAATTGATTAAAGCCTAACAATACATAAACGCAGTGCAAAACATAACACAGTGCAACAAACCAAACCTTCAACAAACAACCATACATAGAACACTAAACGTAGTCAGGCAGGCCGGGTCGGTAGCAAACGGGCAAACAAGGTACCAGGAGCAGGCGGGAGAGTGGTCAGGACTAGCCGAGGTCAGTACAGGCAGAGTTATGCAGAATCAGGGTAGAAGCAAGCAGGATCAGGATACCGGGGCCAAGTGAAACAGTACAACAAATCACTGACTGCAGGTCTGGCCATTCCTTAAATACACCTCCTGCAATCAGCCTCAGGTGATAGCTGACTGAAGGAGTGAGCTTCTGGTTGCTTAGAGCACCCGCTGGCTAGCCCTGGTACTGCAGCCCACAAGGCAGGTGAGTCCCACCACCATTGGTGAGTCCATTCCTGACAGTACCCCCCCCTCAAGGAGCGGCCTCAGGCATCGGGCCATCAGGCGAGGCAGCGGGCACCGGGCCATCAGGCGAGGCAGCGGGCACCGGGGCACCGGGCCATCAGGCGGGGCAGTGGGCACCGGGCCATCAGGCGAGGCAGCGGGCACCGAGGCATCAAGCTCGACAGCGGGCACCGAGTCATCTGGCAGAACAGCGGGCACCGAGTCGCCAAGCTCGACAGCGGGCACCGAGTCAACTGGCACAACAGCGGGCACCGAGTCAACTGGCACAACAGCGGGCACCGAGTCAACTGGCACAACAGCGGGCACCGGGTCAACTGGCACGACAACGGGCACCGAGTCACCAAGCTCGACAGCGGGCACCGAGTCATCTGGCAGAACAGCGGGCACCGAGTCATCTGGCAGAACAGCGGGCACCGAGTCACCAAGCTCGACAGCGGGCACTGAGTCAACTGGCACGACAGCAGGTACCGAGTCACCAAGCTCGACAGTGGGCACCGAGTTACCAGGCTCGACAGCGGGCACCGAGTCATCTGGCAGAACAGCGGGCACCGAGTCACCAAGCTCGACAGCGGGCACCGAGTCAACTGGCACGACAGCGGTACTGTCACCAAGCTCAACAGCGGGCACCGAGTCACCAAGCTCAACAGCAGGGCACTGAGTCACCAAGCTCAACAGCGGGCACCGAGTCACCAAGCTCGACAGCGGGCACCGAGTCAACTGGCACAACAGCGGGCACCGAGTCACCAAGCTCGACAGCGGGCACCAAGTCATCTGGCACGACAGCGGGCACCGAGTCATCTGGCAGAACAGCGGGCACCAAGGCACCAGGCCGGACCACGGGCACCGAGGCACCAGGTCGGACCACGGGCACCGAGGCACCAGGCTGGATCGGGTCATCAGGCTGGATCACAAACTCCGGGTCATCAGGTTGGATCGGGTCATCAGGCTGGATCGGGCCATCAGGCTGGGTAGCGGGCACCAGGTCATCAAGCTGGATAGGATCATCAGGCTGGGTAGGATCATCAGGCCGGACCGGGTCATCAGGCCAGACCGGGTCATCAGGCTAGGTAGCGTACACTGGATCATCAGGCATCAGGCAGAACAACGGAAGGCGGGTTCACAGACGGCAGGCTGACCGGTTTGGATATTGGTAGGATGGTACTGGTTGGAAAGAATTTTCGCCTTTTCCTGGTTTTAGTTACTAGAGCACTGTAAGTAAGAGCAGGTTTGTAAACGGATAGAGCAGCTGTAGGCAGAGAAGAACTGGGGGATGGAACAAAGGAGGGAGCAGTTGCTACAGAGGACTTCTTTACAGGGTTAAAGGCAGGATAGGTGCAGCGAGTAGGAGCAGGGGACTGACATGTGGTAGATAACACGGTATACTGGGCTGTCAATGTGGGTGCTGTCGGGAATGCAGGAAGAGAGCTTTGAGCAGAGGAATGATGAGAAGCGGGACTGGTTTGTCGCAAGCTGACTGAGGCTGGGTGTAACAAATCTGACCATGTCTGCAGTATGGGTTGAACAAAGCTCAGCTTACACAAAGCCTGTCTGGTCAAAGACTGCACTGCGTTTATACAATCCCTTAGCACCTGTTGTGAACATGCAGAATAATGCTCCAAGAAGCAATCCACATCATCCTCTAATAACCATACCAGGGACTCTACCTGGTCTGCACTAAATGGCGGCAAAAAGTCATCCCTGCCCTCAGGGGCACCAGACAAAGCCAACTCTGCACAAACCTGAATCAATGGCTGCACCTCAGAGAACTCTGTGCCTTGATCCACTAGGAAATGAGCGATCCGTATGCACTCTAGCAGTTGATCCCTGGCATACTCCTTCAGAGTCTGATAGGCATAATCTCTGTCATCAAAGACTAGCAGAGACAAATACACAACCTCATCAGGATGCATCCTTCCCAGCAACAAGCCAAGATGGCTTCCCTGTGCAGCCACTTCTGGTCAGGAATGGCCTTGTTGTAATGTCAGGAATCCGGGTATGACCAGAAGTGTGTGGACTGACACAGGGAAACACAGGCTTCAGGTATAGTATATAACAATACAATTTATTAAAGCCTAACAATACATAAACGCAGTGCAAAACATAACACAGTGCAACAAACCAAACCTTCAACAAACAACCATACATACAACACTAAACGTAATCAGGCAGGCCGGTTCGGTAGCAAACGGGCAAACAAGGTACCAGGAGCAGGCGGGAGAGTGGTCAGGACTAGCCGAGGTCAGTACAGGCAGAGTTCGTGCAGAATCGGTAGAAGCAAGCAGGATCAGGATACCGGGCCAAGCGAAACAGTACAACAAGGCACTGACTGCAGGTCTGGCCATTCCTTAAATACACCTCCTGCAATCAGCCTCAGGTGATGGCTGACTGCAAGAGTGAGCTTCTGGTTGCTGAGAGCACCCACTGGCTAGCCCTGGAACTGCAGCCCACAAGGCAGGTGAGTCCCACCACCATTGGCGAGTCCATTCCTGACAGGGCCTCTGCAGAGATGGGACCTGGGACCAATCAGCGGTACATACGTGATAATGGATGTTGCTTATGAAGAGACGTCATCACGCATATACTGCTGATTGGTCCCAGGTCCAATGTCTGCTTGGTTGGTTGTCTGGACTTATGAAGATTTATTTTAAGTGAGTGTGCATTTTTAATAAAAAATATTTTGATGCTACATTATGGTTGGCCATGTTTACTCTCTATTTTGGTTCACTGCATATACTCTGTATTGAGGATACAAAGCGCTGTTATACCATTTTTTCTGGGAATGGTCAACACCTTTTGCTAAGAGATTTGGCATTTCTTTCTTGCATGTCCGAATGGGTTCACTTGGTAAAATAGCTTTTCTGTTTGGAGTACTTTAAAGTACAATTAAAGTGGCACTACACTGCATCTGAGCACCACAAAGCAAAAATGCTATTTAATTCATTGTTAAAATTCAAAGCAAACTCACCCAATCATCCATGTCTCCATGCTTTATTTTGCTGAGAAATTATTTTGAAAAACACCCCCTGGCATTACTGGCCCTGGCCATATTGAGTAAGGGCAGATATTTCATGTAGCATTTACTTCCTGGAATCCATCTGCTCTTAGCTTATGGAATTGGCTGAGCTGAGAACCCCCCCTGCCCCTCCTGAAGACTGCTAGGATGTATGACATAATTTGCCTAGGCATGGAAATAACTGAAGAATTTGGGAAAAAAAAAAAAAGAAAAGCTTAAAATAAGTAAATATACTAAAGATATACTTTCCTATCTATTTACTACTGTAATGCTAGCAGCATAAGGATTAAAAATAGTCAATGCTGATGGAGAGACTGAAGTTCCACTTTAATATAGACCATTTTTGTTTTAATAGTCATCTGATTCTGGCTGGTGTTGGGCTATCTGACACAGTTTCAATCAAGATCTGCGCTTTTGACTGCACTTTTTGGACTTCTTTTCTATTGAACCCACACATGAATTTTTGTTATTAATAAGATTTTATGCACTTTAACCGCTTCTCCGCCACCCTATAGTAGAAATACTGCTACAGTTCAGCACGGGTGCGCAAAATCGTGTGTGTGTGTGTGTGTATATATGTATATGTATATATATATATATATATATATCTTAAAATTTCAAGTCTAGACCCACTAGCCAGGCAAAAACCTTACACTCCGCCAGTTGCCCCACCAAACCTTGCCCAGGTCCGCCTCCAACCCCACCCCAGGCTGGTCCCCCAACCCTGCCCCCAGCCCTGCCCCTATCCACGTCCCCTTAAAGCTTATAAAATTACATTTTTCTTTAGAATAAAGAGTCCAAAATATAAAAACCAGCAATTATAACATAGCTTTATTATGTCATAACATAACAGCAATAGCTTAATAGCAATAGGGTGCAATCAAAATATCAAGTTTTCCAGCTTTAAACCTGTAGTAAACATTTTGTAGTTTTTTTTTTTATCTCCAGCATCTTTTAAAAGAGACTTTAGTTTACAGAAGTATAGCCTAAGAGAAAGTGCTTATTTTGATGCCAACAAACATGGAATAATATTTATTGTAAACATGTATTTTTTATCTCCAGCAGAGACCTTAGAGAAGTGTTGCATTAAGAAAAAACAAAAAAGTGCCTCTTTAGATGGCCAAAAAACATGGCATAAAATAAATAACAATAGTAAACATTTTTGTATTTTTTATCTCGATCATCTTATTAAAAGAGATCTTAGAGAAGTAGTGCATTAACCAGTAGCCGACCGCAGATAGCCGAATGACGGCTGCACTGCGGCCGGCCAGTTCTGGGTGGACGTCATATGACGTCCTCCCAGAACGCGCTCTCCTGCGCGCCCCAGGGGGGGCGCGCACCTGGCGATCTCCGTGATCGCTGTGTCCTACGGACACAGCTGATCACGTGATGTGGTAAAAGGCCAATCACAGTGGCCTTTTACCACCTGATGACACGCTGATCAGAGGGAAATGCAAGTGCCGGTTCTCGGCTGCACTTTCCTCACGCTGTCAGATCGTGAGGAAAGTACTGCCGAGAACCGGCAGTTGTCAGAGCGGGGATGATCAGTGCCCTGATGATCGGTGCCCAGCAGTGACACCCGCAAGTTCCGCCCACCTGTGCCCAGCAGTGCGCCCACTAGCTCCGCCCACCCGTGCCCAGCAGTGCCCCCACCTGTGCCCAGCAGTGCCCCCACCTGTGCCCAGCAGTGCACCCACCTGTGCCACTCTGCAGTGCCACCTACCTGTGCCCAGAAGTGCCACCTACCTGTGCCCAGCAGTGCCACCCACCTGTGCCCACCTACCAGTGCTGCCCACCAGTGCTGCCCACCAGTGCAGCCCAGCAGTGCTGCCAGTCAGTGCCACCAGTCAGTTCCCAGGGGTTGTGCCAGTCAGTGCCACCAGTCAGTGCCCATCAGTGATGCCAGTCAGTGCCGTCTATCAGTACCCATAATCAGTGTCACCTATCAGTGCCGCCTATCAGTGCTGCATATTAGTGCCGTCTATCCGTGACACCTCATTAGTGCTGTCTATCAGTGCCGCCTATCCGTGCCACCTCATTAGTACTGCCTATCAGTGCCCTTTAGTGCCGCCTATCAGTGCCCATCAGTGCTGCCTCATCAACACACATCAGTGAAGGAGAAAAAATACCTGTTTGAAAAATTTTATAAAAGAAACAAAGAAACTTTTTTTTTTTTTTTTCAAATTTTTTGCACTTTTTTATTTATAGCGCAAAAAGTAAAGCGCCCAGTGGCGATTAAATTAGATTCGGTGGTTTGATTTTTGCAGTTCTGATATACGGGAGGTGCGTTTATATTTTTGTTATACACTTATTCTTAATAAATTACATTATTTTACATTATACTGGTGCCTGGTGGTTTCTTTGCAAGTCCACACATTTCTGGTCACTCCTATTTCACAGGATACCAACACTCAGTATCCCCAACACACCCCTAGGAGCTTAACCACTTGCCGACCGCAGATAGCCAAATGACGGCTTCACTGCGGCCAGCCAGTTCTGGGAGGGCGTCCTACTGACACAGCTGATCATGTGAGGTGGTAAAAGGCCAATCACATCAGCCTTTTACCAAATGATCAGCCATGTCCAATGACACAGCAGATCACTGGTAAATGCAGTTGCCGGTTATCGGCTGCTCTTTCTTCGCACTGTCACAGCTTGAGGAAAGTCCTGCGATAACTGGCAGTTGTCAGAGGAGGGATCGGCACCAATAATCAGAGCACTGATGATCAGTGCCCTGATGATCGGTGCCCAGCAGTGCCACCCACCAGTGCTGCCCATCTGTACCCACCAGTGCCGTCCACAAGTGCCCAGCAGTGCCACCCACCTGTGCCCATCAGTGCCGCCTATCAGTGCCCATCATTGTTG